ATTCATAACACCTTTTTTTTTTTTTTGAGACAGTGTCCCGCTCAGTCACCCAGTCTAGAGTATAATGTCTAAATCACTGCAACCTCCGCCACCTGGGTTCAAGCCATTCTTCTGCCTCAGCCTCCTGAGTAGATGGTATTACAGGTGCCTGCCACCATGCCTGTTTAATTTTTATATTTTCAGTAGAGACAGCATTTCACCATGTTGGTCAGGCTGGTCTGGAACTCCTGACCTCAACGCATCTGCCGGCCTCAGCCTCCTAATTACAAGTGTGAGCCACCACACCTGGCCTGTCATTTCTTTATATTTGAATAACATAAGGATTTTAAGACCCTTTCTCCTTTGGGTCAATCAATAATCTGCACCATACACATTTCACAAAACAAAGGACAATACAGTCCTCATTCACATCCTGGTCATGTCACTCCTAGTGACTCCCATATTGCAAGCCTCCCTGCAGGTGTAGCCCTTTCCTCTCCATCTGATGGGCTTCTCAGCTCCCATCACACTGACTGGACACAGACTCCCTGGAGGCAGCCCCCAAGAGCAGAAGACACGGATGACTCAGAGTTTCTAAAAAGTCATCAAACCAGATGACACAAAACTCAAATGACATTTCATTTTGTGAAATACTTTATATTATTAATTATAACCGTATTTAATCACACAAGGCTTTGTACATGACAGGTGCTCCATAAACACTTGTGGAATCAATGCATATGGGCTCCACAGCTACACTGTTTAGATTAGATCCTATTCTGCCTCCACCACTTATGAGCTGAGTGATCTGAGCAAGGTAATTCACCTCTTTATGTCTCCGTTTCCTTGGCTATAAAATACAGATAATAAGAATCCCTAGCTCCTTAGGTTGTTGTCAGGGGTGAATGATTTGGCACATAGCAGGGGCTTTTTAAACATTAGCTGTGATCTCCTTCCAAATCGTTCTTTTCAGAGCCACAGATGAGGCCATAGTGCCACCTGGTGACTGTAGAGTGTAAGTACACATGATCGCCAATATGTTGTCTCTCCAGCACAGGTCCCAGACTGGCTAGTTACCGCCTGGAGGTATCTGCTACATCTGCCTTCTCAGGGCTCAGGTAAAGACTTTTGTATTTTCCTCTTCGAATTCCTGCAGATGGGGTTGAGGTTGCCCGACACAGTTGGGCGATCCCCGGAGTAGTGACCACCTATGCCAGCCCTGTGAGGTAGCTGGAGAATATTCCTTCCTTCTCAAGTTCTGGGCAGATGCCAGGGCTGGGGTGACCCATGACCTCAAGT